TAATTTTGCAAAAGAGACTGTCCTACATTATGAAAAAGAAGTGTGTTATATGTTTGAGGGATAGTTTGACTTCCCCTTTCTGGCACAGCTCTGTGGTGGGTTCTAAGGAACGGACTCAGGCTGCACTTCTGGGACAGGATTTGTTCTCTGTGCCCAACTTAATTTTGAACAGAGGAATTTGACTAGAAGGCATGATTCTTAGTGCTTTAGCTCCCACAATTCCCAAAGTTATTACTCCACTGTTATTACAAGAAAGAAAAAAAAATATGTGACTAAACCAGAAATGCATTTCCTGGTTTGTTCCTTTGATATATTTCTAGTGCAAAACACTGGAGGTACGAATTTCATTCCTGTAGCAACACCCTCACAAAGGCTCCTATTTCAGTTAGTCTGTAGATCCGTAAAAGTGTACCTGCAGTAACTGCTGGGTATTTCAATCCTGGATCAGCTACCTGGCTGAGTCCATTCTGCTGGTAGGGCAGCTTAATCCCAGTGAACTGCAGGATATGAGGTGGGAAGCATACATCAGTTCTAATGCAAAGCAGAGCAATCCACACTGCATTTTAGCTACTGCCATAAAACTAGGTTATCACAGAAACTCTACAGGATGAATAGTCTCAGGAACAACACACACAAATCTTTCACAGTAACCTAACAGCAAAAGCCATGCTTTGACTTTGCATAATAGCATCATTCACTAACTTTTAAGGAAAGACTTCACACGTTTTAACTTTTACATTTTTTCTTAACCTTTTGGCAAGCTTTCAGCATCAGTTTTCTATACAAGGCACAAAAAAAAGAATTTCATAAACTGGTCATAACAGAATATAAAGGGAAGATGAATTATAACTTCAGCACATGAGCCTTTCATCCAGAATTCATAAAAGAGAGCAAATTATTCCTTTTAGTGCAAAATATAAAAACTTTTCAAAATTACTGTTGTGAGAAATTACAGACAGAAAAGTCACGTTTATCTACATATTCTGAAATAAAGGTAGAAACAAAATTAATCTCATCTACAGATGTAAACAGCTCAGCTTAATTTTTAATCAGTCATTAAAGACACCATTTAAGAATAATTCATCCCTTTTAAACGGGTCAATAAAAAAGATAAGCTTAATGTGAAGTTTAGCATGCTTCATTGTACTAAAAAATACAATGTTCCATGTTTTATGTAATAGCTTTATTATCAAATGGCAAGAGATATTTAGTAATGATGCCATGCAGGTATCACAGAACATTCCAAAAGACAGACAGGTCACCTAACAGCTAAAAACTCCTTGCAAGTAAAAGCAAAGCTACATCTGCCTGTCCCAGTTCATTTCATGGTAGTCACTGTTCTCCTATCAAAATGTTACAGCTATCTCTTGGATCACTCACTGGATTCCCTAAAAGTGTAGGCTAGTATTCCACAGCACAGTGCTCTTTTGTCTTTTTCCACAAGGCCTTCCTTACTCCTCACAACCCTCAGTCCTCGTGGGGTGGGAGAACGCTTGGGGCCATTGGCAGCTGAAGAAAAACAAAGAAGGGACAGGTTAAAAAAAAACCACTAAGGTTTTGCAAAAGGGAAGAACCTTATTTTCAACCTTTTAAAGGTCTTAAGGCTTTTAGCCACTGCAATGGGAACCCAGTCCATGGCTGAAACACAACAGGTTTTTCAGTGACATAGCCTGATCCCATCTACACAGTGAAATAACAACTCAAGTGAAAATGTCAAGCAACAGCATGATTCATGTTAAATTGAAATAGTTCAGTTCCTTCTTTAGTGTTTAGCGTTCCCTCTTTAGTCTTTAGAACCTTGGTTCCACCACACATTGGCTTTATACAGCATAGAAAGGATTTTACAACAGCATCTGTAATTGACCAGAAATTGAGACAAATTTTGAGAAAAGCCACTGGACAATAAGTTGTAAGTAGTTTATTCTGAGAGTTCATCTGCATGAAAAATTAACTATGCAGAAAAGTAGGCTGTAAATGTACAGCAGCTTCACACACCAACAGTCCAGGGGACACTGGCTTACAACAGCTGAATTCACACTGAAGTTTACTATGGAATAAATCCCCTGGCTATGCAACCTCTGAGATTAAAACTGCAGCAATAGAAGTAATCACTACTCAGTTTTAAATGCCAATGAAGTACACTTTTAGAGTAAAATCTAATAACAAACCAACTGTTGAAGCTAAATGGTCTTATGATAAACTTGCAAACAGTAGTGATATGAATTCCTTTATCCACCTATGTCAAAAATACCATTTACTATGCAGCCTGAATTTAAATAAAAGACAGTGTATCAATAATATTTGCTGAATATTTACATGTAATACTGTGATGAATTGAAGGAGTCAATTAACATAATGTTACCAAAAAAACCCCAAAACCCTTTAAAGGTAGCAATACCTTTTACATTATCACATTCATGGAACTGTTCTCAATGATCTCTCAGATGATAACATGAGGATACAGACAACTAAACCCTTGAATTGGAGCATATTCTAATGTGCCAACAGCCATTTCAGCAAGATACTTCAGGGGCACCAATTTAAAGCATATAAGCAGCACTGGTTTCAGCAGTATGAAACTTAAATGCGTACCCCAGTTCCTTGCTGATCAGGGCCTCATTTTATGAGATTCCACTGATAATACAAGCTACAACAGTTATAAGATTACAAGGAGAGGCATCATATACCTTCCTGAGTGAATGCACATACTTTCAACTTAAAGGTAAAGCACAGCTGGTAGCCCCTTGCCAGTTACTGACTTACCAGACAATGGAACGATCCTTTCAATTTTGTATACACTGACACAAAAGCCTTCTGTTACATGATGCTTTGAATATTATTAAGAATCAGCTTTTTAGTAAGAATTGCACCAATTTGCCTACCTGACATTTCTTCTAGCTAATCAACCTGCAGTGGAAAATGTTATACTCTTTATATATGGCTTGAGAAATGGTAATTAATATTACACTGCTGTGTAATACACAGCTTAAGAGTAAATTTTCTTCCTAGTAGATTCTTCCATACCACAGCACATCATGACTGTATCACATCCCCTATCAGGCACCAGCCTCTGGGAAAACTGAATGGTACAATGGGCTGTTAAAAACTACACTGAGAGCAATGGGTGGCGGGACTTCGAAACATTGGGATACACATTTACCAAAAGCCACCTGGTTGGTCAACACGAGGGGATCTGCCAATAGGGCTGGCCCAGCCCAATCAGAACTTTTACGTACTGTAGAGGGAGATAAAGTTCCTGTGGTGCACATAAAGAGTTTGTTGGGGAAGACAGTCTGGGGGATTCCTGCTTCAGGTAAAGGCAAACCCACTCGTGGGGTTGCTTTTGCTCAGGGCCCTGGGTATACTTGGTGGGTAATGCGGGAAGATGGGGAAGTCCGATGTGTACCTCAAGGGGATTTAATTTTGGGGGAAAACAATGAACTCACAATGAACTCAATTACATGCTGTTGCCTGCTATATAACACTTCTATAGCCCATCAGCTAGATGCCCATCTCCGCCACTCTGGGCTCTGAAAACATGTACTGTCACGATCATCAGCAGAGAATAAAGTCATGAGAAAAGCTGGCGGCAGCAGCAGGAGTCTCACAGTACTGTTCTCAGGTCACCATCGACTGAACCTGACTTCCCTCAGATCATCACCCCAACAAAGAGTGAACATTGAAACTAGGCAAGCTCAGCAGTGACCAGAGAAGCTCAGCAGTGTTGTCAGCAGGCAACAACCCAATACCACATACCATGTTTCCTGCCCTGAAAAACTGTTATGACCGGAACTTCGATGAGACCAGACAAGCTCAGTGGTGACATCAGCAGGCAGCAATCCTACACCACACACCATGTCTCCTCCCCTGAAGGACTGTTACAACAGATGAAGCCCAACATCATGGACTGAATGAACGCAGCTAGGGATGGTCCACAGACTAAGGAATGATACCTCTGTGTGTGTGTGTGTGTGTATATATATATATATATATGAAGAGACAAAAAACTAATGGTATATTGGAAAACATGGAACCTCAGCATGACATAAATGGTATGGAATAAGGGGCAGATACAGTCCTGGTTTCAGCTGTTAAGTTAAATTTCTTCCTAGCAGCTGGTGCAGTGCTGTGTTTCTGCTTTAGTCTGAGCACAGTGCTGATAACACGCCAATGGCTGAGTTGCTGCTGAGCAGTGCTTACCCTGGTCAAGGGCTTTTCAGTTTCTCATGCTCTGCCAGTGAGAAGGGGCACAAGAAGCCAGGAGGAAGCAGAGAAAGGACACCTGACCTGAACTAGCCAAAGGAGTATTTCATACAGCACATCATGCCCAGTATAGAAACTGGGGGGAGTCACCCAGAAGGGACTGATTGCTGCTCAGGTCGGGCTGGGTATTGGTCAGCAGGTGATGAGAAATTGTGTTTTCTGAGCTTTTGTTGTTATTGTTTCCTACTATAAATAATCACTGTTGGTATTCTATTATCACTATATTTTACTTTTTTTTTTAGTTACCGGACTGTTCTTATCTCAACCCTTGGGGTTTACATTCTTTTGATTCTCCTCCCCATCCTGCCCTGGGGAGGGGGGCAGAAGGGAAGGATGAGCGAGCAGCTGCGTGGCGCTGAGTTACTGGGCTAAACCACAGCAATTGCTTAAACATTTTTAAATCTTTCAAGAACTGAAAGATGTATATAATCATGCAATCCTTTTCTTAAATTGGCAGGATAAATCTAAGCAAGTGAAATACTGGCAGAATAATCAACATTAGAAAAATAAAAATTAGAAAGTCAAAATCATCAACCACCCACGATCAAAATTCTAACCTGTTCTCTCCCCTTCCATATCTTTCCCAGAATAAAGCTTTACCGAGGACAAGAGGGAATGATGTGACACTTTGCATTTGTTAATCCAGTTAGTAAAGCAGATGTAGGTTCAAGTATTTAAATCCACACAGCACTAGTAAGCAAAAGTAAACAATCAGGATGAGAATATCATTGTATCATGTTGAAGTACTGCAAAACCCCTTTGTTTCAGAGTGAGCACCATTATTATATTATTTTGGAACTCCCAAAGGCAAAACCCAGAAATATTGTTGATGAGAAATGTACTCAGACCAGATCACATGCAAGCCTACACAGAATATCACAAAATTGGACTGAATAATTAAGGTTTCCTGCAAGTTTTAGAAAGCATTATCTGTAGTTTATGTCTACATTACATTTTTTGCTCTGCATATAATCAGAGCAAAATGTTACATCTGTGTTTCCACTTCCCTCATCCTGAGGGCCACACACACCCCCTCCCAAAGTAAAACACTGATGGTTTGGTTACAAAACTATATGCAGTACATCTCTGAACACAGTTCCTTCAATTCTGGGCCTTGTGTTCATTTAAAAACATTCTTATCAATTACAAGCCTCCTCCTTAATTGCTTAAGATCCAATAGAAAAGCAAATATACAAATATCAGAAGTGCTGATCCTGAGATGAAGTATGGGAAATTCTGGTCCAGTTTGATCCTTATTCAAACTTCTGTTTCAGTTTCTTCTGGAAGAGAGCTGGTAGGATGGAGAGGATGGCTAGAATCATGAGAACAAACACAGAGTTCCAGGAAACAGCTTCCCCTGCTGTTGTAAGTTGGTACAGCGTTGTTCCTGCCTTAATGGCTACAAAAGACGGTGGTGCCACACCTGGAGTGGGGAATTAGAATGGTAGGAAGGCATAGGAAGAAAAAAAACAGCTTGTCAGCAAGAAAAACAAAACAAAACATAAATTAGTTAAACTTTTAAGACCCAAACTTTCAGACTCTGTTGCCTTGCACATTTTGGGTTTTTTTATTTTGTTTGTTGCCCTTTTTTTCTTTTTAAAGAGGAGTGTAAATACAAAACCAAAGGTAAAAAAACTCTTATCAGAAGAACTGGCTTCATGCCATTTTAAATATTTTTAATACCAAACACAGGTAACTAATAAAAGAATCTTTGCTCATTAGACTCTGCAGATTTCAAGCTCTCTCTACAAACCAATTTTAAGTTCACAAAGGAAAAATATGGGTAGTGTCCTAAACAGATTAAAAATCATTTGCAAAAATATGCCAATTACAAACCTAAAGTGTTTAGCACTACATTAGTTGAATTATGAATTCACTCCTAGGAAGATATAGTATGATGAACAAAATGGCATGGGGATTAAAAATCTTTCAGATCAAAGTCCCATGCATCCTCACAGTTATACTGAAGTTGACTAAAGTGTTTAGTCATGCAGTGGAACAAAAAGTTACCAATACAGTGTTCTTATAACGTACGTTTCCTTAATCAAGTAATTAAGACTGGGCTCATTACCTCTCACTCAATGCATCAGAATAGTCCTGACTACTAAAAATCTTTTAATATAAACTTCACACATGGAGAAATACAAAAATATTCTGTGTAATCGTTTGGCTGTCCACTAGGTGGTGATCTCTGCTGAATAACTCACAGGTGCAAATACTACCACTTCTGGCTACCCCAAACCACAAGTCACTAGCCAGAATTCTTACCTAGAAAAGTGCCAATGAAAAATACTTTCAATGGCACATTAATTACAGGAGATGTTATATTGATAAACCAATTGGGAAGAAAAGGTGTTATTCTCAAAAATATTATGTAGTTAATGAGGTGTTCTCTGTGTCGTTCAACCTGCCAAAACAAAACCAACAAGATCAGTAAAAAAATCCCTGCCTGGAAAATACACAAAATCGTTAAACAATTATTTTACTACTAGAGGATTTTTAGGGGGGGGTTGAGTATCTCTTGTAGAAATTTACAAGTTGCAAACATAAAAATCAACTAAACAGTGAGTGACTCAAGGAAGAGTCATCAGTGAATCAACTGTTAAGCAGTACTGAAGTTAGTCTGGAAATACCAGTCTGTAGTGGAGCATGGTGATGAATCAGCCAACATAAACAGCAAACAAGTAATTAGGCACGGCAGCAGGCCTAACCCTAACTTGAACACAGCAACCTCTGCTCCTCAACCTTTCCGTCATAACTCATGATCAAACTCCAAACACAGCTGTATTCCTCTCTTGGAAACTTACCCAGGTCATGGCTCTTAAGTTCATCAAGTGGCTGCTGCCAAGGCAGCTGCAAAACCTATCTACCCAGAAGTCAGAATGCCCAGCACTAGTTACCCAGGAGCAACCACAATAGCCCCAACTTCATGTACAGTCTTAATTATATTCTCAAGCCTAGAGGCTAGCCCAGTTCATTACACTAGTACCATATCAAAGTCTCTTCTCCTTCCAGCCTATTCTAGTACATCAGCCCTTTCAAGCAAGAACTGTAACCTCAAACCAACTTTTAAGACTAGCAAAACATCCACCATTTCTGGCCTCTTCTGGCAGACTTTCACCAAGCCTAAACATGGTCATCTGGCCCCAGACAATTGAAATCAAACGTAGTGTGAACGCAGTTCCCTCCTAAATATCATGCAGCAATTTTTTCTCCCCTCAGCTTTAACTACAACACTAAAGTCAGTAGCCCTGCTATTGTTCAGTAATACCACTGTGGGTTTTTTAATCTCAGTGAAGGGCAAATATTTAAACATTGATTAACCCTGCATCTTAGTCCTCAAAATGCAAGCATGATATAGTCCAGTTAACCTGGAAATAACAAGATATGAGCTCCACATGTAATCATATAACTTTAAATCACATATCCAGTTTTACTAGTGGAAATAGTAATTATTTGTTACCCAGAACAGCCTCAAGATTACACTGTGATACTAGGATTTACTTAGGCCAGGAATCAAAATACTACTGTATTATTTAATAAGGACAAATGTATCAGACTCAGTTCCACATCTTACTGCATGAGGAAAAAGTTTAGACTATTTTTACATGAATAAAAAAAATCTTGAACAGAGTACATCTGTAAGCTGTGCACCCCCCTCCCAAGAAAAAATCCTGTTTGAACATGTTACAGAGTATCAAAGCAAGAGTCATGAGACCAAATACTAACCACACTATGATTCTGAATTGCAAATTTTTAACTTCATCTGACAATTAACACTTGCTGAAAGTAATGTTATCAGATACTGTAAAAGAAAGTTTCTAAATGCTCCAACCACATCATCTTCAAATGAAAGCTTTCTTCCCCTATAAATAACTGAAACCCAGCTTTCACTAGTTCCGATGCTAGGAGTGCTATTATTTTAAATTGAAACTGAAGAGGTAAGCTACTGACATCAGCTAAATCAGGGGGATTATCAGTTGCAAACTCTTCCTAGCTAAAAACAACTTCCTCACAGGAAATACGATATAAACAGGAACACTCCCCACTGTTTAAAAATGCCCAGAGAAAGTAACTACGCAGTGTCAGAAAGGAGTCAGAATCCTTTCTTTGTAACTAGATACGTAAGCATGAATCCCTGGTTTTCTGTGCTATTCTACTACATGTTTTCTGTCAGATTTCAGCAACTCTAGAAAATTTACCTGTTCTGACCATTTTACTGCTTTTTCTGTTAAATATCTGTATACAACAGGACGTCCCACTAGGTATGAAAGCATATAGCAAAACGAAGCTCCAAGTCCAGAGCACTGAAAAACAGAAAAAGAAAGAACAAATGAGCAGAAAGTCTAACTAATCTTAGCCCTATATCTCTATTAACTACATGGCTCTGTGCAGCCCCTCACTGGGGCTGAGGGGCTCTCCGTCAGCAGTATGTAGAGTGTCAAAGAATGCTGTTCTTAGACAAGACAGTTCCTTTATTTCCAAGGCACATAGATCAATCTTACCATTCAAAGCAGACAATGCTGATTACTTACCAGTTAATAGAGTGCTTCTACAGTTTTAAGATTTTGAACAGAGAAAACTTTGCAAATAAGAGGCACAACAGCATTAAAGAGATGTTAACTTGAAAATTCATCAACTTGGTCCTCCATACCTGCTCAATTATCTAATTCTTATGTACTACAACTCATTATGACTGCATCTTTTTTACATATTTTTTGAAGCTTGTCATTATCATACATTTTGTATCTTGGGTATTTAAGCCATTTAAAAATAAATGTGTTTTGCTATGCGATATTGTGTTCTGAAACTACAGTCGGGTTCTGGTGGATGATAAACAAATTTAAAGGAAACTCTGGCTGATTCACACTCGGATGCCTCCATTATTAAGAAAACTTGGAGAAACAGTTTAATCCTTTGGATAATCACCCAGTGCCACAGTGAATTTTGTGGGTAACACCATTCTCACAACAGAGCTGAATGAGAAATCATTCATTCCTCAGAAACTAAAGTACACCCCTATTTCACTCAGACTCTGCTAATTTCAAACAGGAAGCTGATCAGATGATTGGTTGTATTCCAAATAGACAGAAATATATGCCCTCACAATAGTTTTCATACTTACCAGACAAACAAGAAATAAGGCCAATGGAAAGGGATAAAGAAACCCTGACAGGATGCTGAGAAATATAGACCCAGGAATAGCAAACGTTTGCAAGCTGGGTGCATCTTAGTTAAGGAAAAAAAAAAAAAAACAACCACAAAACAAACAAACCAAAATTAAAAGCTACCCATTTCTTAATTTTATAAGCAGTCAGGATATATATATATTACAACTGAAAAAGCATATATATAAATAGGCATAGCTTCTAAAGATCTTTATTTCAAAACACATTTGCAGAGGAGCAAAAGAAGCCCAAGAGGAATGAGCAGTAGATTGATCATTACACATAGAAAAATTAGTCACTAAATAATAAAAGCTGTACTACATTCTTCTATTTATCTGTGCTCCAACTGATACTGGAGATTTATCGTAACATTACAGGAAACACATACTTCTAATTTTACAATGTTGACTAGAGATATGCAGATTTCAGATATTCTTCCTGAAATGTTCACAGAACTGCCCAAGCCCATTAACTACTATGAGTTTCATGGAAGACAGGCATGTATGAAGGCAACTACTACTTCCTTACAAATAGATAAAGTGCAATCACTAGATAAAACTAGGACACATGATTACTAATTTCAGTCAGAATTTTTCAAAAAGGCAAAAATTAAGTTGCTGCATCATAAGCAAACAGGCCCTTGAGCTTAAGGCTTGCTAGGTATGCTTGAGATTACGATGTATCGCCCACTTCAGACAGAAATATAAAGCAAAATAGTATCTGCAAACTATTTTATCGGAGTTGAATTGACTGAAGTATCACAAAGCCCAATAATCTTCCTCAAGTCCCTTAGAACCAGTACGATTTTTTCTAAGTGTCAAGGTTCTGAGATAACTGTAACATGTTTATCAACTGATCGCAGTCTACTGCTAAGACAGTAAATGTCATCATATCAGCTGCTATAGTAATTCAATAAACAGCCAATTCTGTTCTACTTGTTATATATATATATAAACTAACATTTAAATTTTCTTCATAGATCTATTACTTGTGAACTACACTTAAAAAGAACAAGCTAGAGGACACTTACTAATGGCACATTCAATGCTGATTTTTCTCTGAGTTACAAAGCCTCCTGCATTAAACTACAAAACAGACCTCTTACACAGCTTTGAAGTTATTAACCTGTAGTTAAGTGTTCCAGTTAAGAAAGTGTTTAATGATCAATTAATATAAACAACACTCAGGAAAAAAGTTAACAAGGAACACAGGTAGTCTTAGTGTCTCCACAGGCAGAAACTACTTCAAAAATTTAGTTCTCCAAAAGGAAATAGGTTTGGTTTTTTTGAATGTGGGCACTGCAGAAATAAAAGAAGGCTCAAAACACTTTCCTTCAGAAATGCTGTAAAATATTCTGTAAATTACCCTGACATGGCACTTGTGAACGTCTCAAGGAAGAGCAGTGCAGTAGTCTCAGTTTTCCTTAGGATCAACAGCAATTTCTGACTGGAAATTCAGTTTGCAATTAAAAATATTAGCAAAACAATAAGATGAGACCAAGTCTAATATCAAAGCTAAAAATATTGTCCATAAGAGACAGAGTCAAGGTGAAGCTGCATGCAAATCCCCACCACCATTTACTACTATAGATGATGCATCAACTTCTTTCTACTCAATCCTTTCTTGCAGTCCAAAAAGTATATTGAAACATGAAAGAAATGTTTTTAAGTTCAAATATTTTGGAACATCTGTGTCTACAACCACACTAGGTAGGTTAACCTTCACCTATGATCAAGAACATGCAAGATTTTCTTTTCAAGATAAACATGACATCAAAACCGCCCTTTATATTTGAAAAAGGATACAAAACGTATGTGGCAAAATAAGCAACTAACACTTGAACATAAAATGTGTCCTTATACTTGGACAGGACTTTTCCCAAGGCCTTTGCATCATCCATATCTCTAGGAACCTTTATACATTCTCTTTCTTCTCTGGAGAAAAAGAAGAAAAAAAAAAAACCAAACGCAGGAATTGTGGTAAATATAATCAAACAGTACAATAAAATTACTTACTGAATATATAGGTAATTTGATACACTACATTGCTAAACTGCAGCCTCAGCAAACAAACCACATGAATTATTATGATAATGTTCTCAGATGAACACAATATTTACGATGTGTTTTGTACTAGAAAATCCTCAATTTTAGATACTTGCAAACTTTCTTTATTCATTACAATAATCTGCTTCATTCCTAGGACTTTATTTTCTTATCAAGTACTGATCAAAACTAAATAATTACTCAAACCAAACCTTGGCAACTGAACAGCGGTCAACATTTCAGCCAAAACCAATTGTAACTGCCTCAGCACTAGGGTCCTAACATCTGAAGTGCAGCAAAAGCAGCAGCAGAGCTTTACCTCACAAACAAACAAAGCTTTAAGAGCAAAATCTCATGTCACACCTTAATCTGGTGCAACCCTGGGCAGCACAGTTGAGTGTCCTCTCTTCCGCTGTACCAGACTTAGTGATTGGACTGTTGCAAACTGAACTTGTTGAGCAAGTTAATCAGACAGAAAAATAACTACTAAAAGAAAAAAAGAAAATTGTCAGACAAGCAGACTTCCATCTTGTCAAACTAACTACCTTCCCAACACAAGTACTAGATGAAACAAAAAGGAGAAAAAAAGAACATGAAGCTCACATATGAAAGAAGGATGTCCCCTTTTGATGACAGCCTCCAGTAATACCAGCACACAAGGAATTTTCAAACAAACCTAGGCCTAACCAAGCATGTTTTGGCTCTCGGCTGAAGAGCATTAAGAACATAGTGAGTTCTTAATGTTCTTCATTAAAACATCAGGCAACTTTTCAAAACGTGGTATCTCAACTGTGCCAGAGAAATCCTAGGTCAAGTACAGCTCTGTTTACACAGACCCTACCAGTTAGTATTTCAATATTACTGCTTTGTATCCTAGCATTCTAGGTTATAAACTCACATTTATGCTAGATTCTGTCTGTAGTTAACTCACATCAGTTTAAAAATCACTTAGCCCCATGTAGGTTCCTCTACAATTTGGTACTGAAGGAAAAGCAAATAAATTAATCTTTCCTGCCATACTTACTCACTAAGTTGTGGGAAATTTTTATATACCAGGAACATAAGGAAAGCAGCCAATGAGAAGATGGACACCAATATAAGCAGTGATGTCCGAGCTGATCCACCTTCCGCCTGAGCTTTCCCTGAAATTCAACAAGAGTAGAGTTAAAAAAGCCAAACCAAAATACCACCACTCTCATAACAAGCTTCAAACTTGTAGTATAAAGAAACTTCAAGGTAAGCTCTCTGCAGACATAATCTTCCCACCAATGCTCTCAGCAACATATACAACACATTGCTCACATTCTCTGAAAGCTCTCAAATAAATCTGAAGTTCTTACACTGGCAAACATCCTGCAGAAGTCAACTTCTACAGTTTGCAATAATTTAAGCATCAATTAATAAATATATTTGTAAAAACAGCAAAACAAAGTAAGCCATATATATTTTTAACTTTTTGCCAGACATTTGCCAGTCTAGTTACTAAAGATTTAACTCAAACTTAAATCTTCAGTACGTATAATGCAATTCTGGACACACTATTTTTTTCCCCCTCCTAAAAAAGAGCACCAGAGCCAGTAGCCAATCAGCATAAACACACTCATCAGGAGAAAACATATGTAAACACACCCCAACCTGGGATATAAGGATTACAGTTCTCAGACTTGGGAATTACACATATTTTGCACTCATAGACTTCTCTTGGATATGTCTATACAAGCTTTTATTAGCTTTAAAATTTTTGTGTAAAGAAAACAGTAGGAATTCAATATGTGACACGATTACAGTTTAGGCCTCTCCTATACTTTAGATTTTTACCAATACAACCATATACGTGCAATACAACACTTGGCACAAATACAGGTGTAGCCACACAGCATTTAAAACAGAGAGAAATAGACAGCAAGAACTCTGTGCATCCATACTAGGATGGGTATGTATTAAAACACTCTCAGACACTAGCACACCTTCACCGTGAGCATCAGCCCTGGTCACCTGAAGAACACAAAAACCCACCAAGACTGTATTTTAATTCCCAGATGCTGGTGGCATGACTAAAATGCCAAGGCGCAACATTCAAGCGGGTCGAACTGTCAGCTTATTGTTGCAAAACACAGCGAAAAGATGATGAAACCTACACAGAGAACAGAGCCGGCTGGACAAGCTGGCAATTCTACCCGCTTTGGGGTCACCGTGATCCCACACGTGTGCTCGGGCTGAACTAAGGCCGAGGGAGACATCCACGTAGAGTTACAAGCATGAATCACAGAATCATCGGGGTTGGAAGTGACCTCTGAAGATCATTTAGTCCAACCCCCGGCCAAAGCAGGGCCACCGAGAGCAGGTTCCCTGTCCCAGCGCTCTGCCACCCTCGGCACAAAGTTCTTCCTCATGTCGAGGTGAAACTTC